GTTTAAACCAATTTGATTTCTGTGTGCTCACTTCTTGATTGTGAGGTCAAGGTTTCTGGTCTTCAGTTACCTTTTGAGCAGTTCTTCCCACCACTCGACTGTCTGGGTGATTATATGACACATCCTCTATTTGAAGTGGCGCCTCCAGCTTTACGTTGACGGCATTTGTGCGGTTTTAGTTGATTCGAGTTGGGGCTACTCGTCCAGGCAAACGCAGTTGACCTGGTTTAGGGGCTTATTTTGCACTTGTTGGATGAATTTATGTGAAAATTGTTGTTCGACAATGTTCTTGAGCATTTACGTATTGCTTGTGTGGCAGGACGCCTAAATATATGGTTCATGCAATGATTATTTGGCACACCGAATAAGCTTCGTGTACATTTTGGCGACTGTTTTTTCGATAAATTTCTTTGCAGCTTGCAGAAACCTGTACTCGATCGTAAATTTCCCTATCAGCTGTTATGCAGTACCTATTTCTGTTGCAGGAACCGAAGAATATGGTTGATATCGAATTCGTGCATGCTCCCGCAATTTTGTGTGGCGTTTTGATCGCTAAAAGTCAACGGAATGCATAGATATGTATATAGATATGTTTATAATATCAGTAATAATAATAAGTGTAATTGTAGTAGTTGGAGTATCATACGTCTAAAAAACAGTAAAGACAATACTGTAAGCAGCTTGGAACATAAGGGTATAATATACAATGATCCCCAGGTTATAAGTGAACTCCTCAATGAGTGGTTTTGCAATGACGCCAGAGTGCACCCGACCCAAAATTTCCAAATGACCTGCAAAAGTAACCACAAATTACGCGAAATAGACTTTAATATACAAAATATAGACTCAGCGATTAAGACTTTGAAGTCTAATGACATACCATCTCTCACGTACAAAAATGGTAGCACGGAAATGGTAGTCTTGTTACTTAGAATATTTACTCTCTCGTTGGAAACATGAACTTTTCCTGAAGTGTGGAAAACCACATACATATTACCTAAGCACAAAGCAGGGGCCAAAACCAGTGCATGCAACTATAGACCTATCAATATAACACGGGTAATATCCCGAATAATGGAGAAAGTGGTTAAAGACCAAGTGTCAGACAACTTACTAAATCATGGACTTATCAATCCATCACAACACGGACTTCTTAAAAAGAGATCATGTGTGACCTGTCACATAGACATTTTCAACGAAGTTACACGAAGTAGGGACAACAGAGAACTAGTAATTGTACTATATTTCGATATAACGAAAGCCTTCGACAGAGTTCCCCAGAATCTGCTAGTCAGCAGGTTATGCTCACTAGGGATATGTGACCCTCTCCTGAGCTGGATAAAATCATTTCTCTGTGGCCGAAGTCAGACAACGAAAGTTGGCTCGATAATCTCAAGGCCTAAACCAGTAAGTAGTGGTGTGATCCAGGGAAGTGTATTAGGCCCACTCTTATTCATAATATATATAAACAGTATCTGTGAATGCTTTAGTGTAGGTAAACCAATACTATATGCAGATGACTTAAAAGTGACGTATAAATGCAAGAACACAGATCTTGGAATAACAGTAAACGCCATACAGCAAGAATTAGAAAAAATGGATAGATGGTGTGACACCTGGCAACTCCAATTTAATGTCGAAAAATGTGGCTGGCTCTGCATAGGTTGCAACAATTTAGAACTTGACCTGACAATTCAAGGCCATGCACTTCTACGACTGGAATCTGTACTGGACCTAGGGCTGAAATATTCACATAACTTATCATTTTTTGAACATATCTCCAAACAAGCGTCAAAGTCACGCAGACTTATCGGCTTTCTACTCAGGAACTTCTACAGAAATGAGTCTAGAATTCTGTTGTACAAGGTTTGTGTGCGTCCTTTATTTGATCACTGTTCATTCATGTATAGTATCATACGCATAGAGGACAAATTGAAAGTCGAGGGAGTGCAGAGGTACTTCACGTTAAAATTACTCGGAACCGAAAATTGTGCGAACTACTCCACTAGATGTGATACCCTAGGACTAGAAACACTATGGCTAAGACGCCTGGGACTAAACTTAACACTTTACTATAAGCTTCTAAACCACTTAGTTTTTACCTCCACTAATGGCACTCGACTTTCAGATGACAATGGCTACAAACTAAGTCACACTAAGGGTACAGTAGCTATCGAACAATGTAAAACAGCCACCAAGCAAAAGTTTTACTTGATTAGGCATGCACAGATATGGAATAAACTGCCAATGGAAATGCGTCAAGCAAGTACAGGCATGAACAAACGTGCACTAATTAGAACTGATAGAATATATAATATGATTTGTTAATTTAAACTTAGACTTGAAACTGGTTTATGTGAGAGAAATATTGAAAAGAGTACAAACAACTAGATAAATAATTTTCGAAATCTGCTTTCGACCCAGTTAATCATAAAATACAGCGTTAAATCTAAGTTTTAAGCGACAGAATACCTACCGCATGCCAGTTTTACGTGGGAATTACAAATCATTACGTTATTAGTAGGAAGTAAGTGGCATTTTGGTACAGGTGCTGGAGTGAAACATAAGCGATGAAGAATGAACAGTAATTATCAGTTGTGTTCGAAAATTTATAAAATTTCAAAGCACCATAATTGTAACGTCTTCAGTTATGTATGAGACCAACTTTGAACTTATCAACAGATTTCACGACGAGGGTGACGAAATCATACAAAAAAGGAAATATTACTAGTGAATAATTACCCACCAGAACTTACTCAGAAATATATGAAGAACCATATAAAGACTAAGACTAGCAATAAAAGTGACAAAAATATTGTAGGATTCAAAACCTCTGTAGTGCTGCCGTATAAAGAAGGAAAGTCAGAGGCCTTCTTTAGGATTCTTAATAGGTCTGGAATTATCGAAGTGGCGTTTATTCCAAACAGCCCTCTCAGAGATGTTGGCTTAAGGACCCAATAGATCCTATTAAGAAAAATAAAACAATTTACTAAATAACATGTAATCACTGTAATATCAATTACATAGGTCACACTAGTAGATCATGGTCGACTAGATTACTGGAACATAAAAATTTGGCAAGACCTAGAATAATTGTCCCAGCTAAGTTAAATAACCCAGAAGAAATCACAGCCATTGCACTGCATTTCATTCACTTGCATGTAATCACAAAATGGGGTGGGACAGGGTGAGAGTATTAGAAAGTAATATAACTAAGTCGAGAGAAACAGATTAATCACTGAGGCTTTCTTTATTGATTCAACACCTCACACGTGCAATCGGAATGACGCAGCGCCTACACCGGAGATTTGGAAAGTGGCAACAAACAACAATGGAAATCTAGAGAAAAGTAATAGAGAGAAAGTATATATAAGACAAACTGTGAAACCATGTGATTAAAATTGATATGATTATGAGCAATAATTTATGCTCGAAACTTCACCCTGTTGTTAACAGTGCTTCTAATATGGAGTCACTTCTTCCACCTACACAGGCAGCTGGCATCACAAATCAGTATGCTAAGGTCACGGACAGTAAGTCACGAGAGACCTCCACCATTTTGAAGTCAGTGTGGAAATCTGCTGCACAAAGCATAAAGAACAAGATTCCGATTTTCATCACCAATGTTAAGACAGTTATACTATTTAGTTCAGGGATTTGGAGCTCACGCAACCGAAACCATTTCGAATAGGCTTCAGACTTTTATCAAGAACAAACCTACACCCACGCTTACATCCAAGGATTAGCAACAGGAAACTCCAGAAAAAACCAACCAACAAATATGTCGGGTAAAGTGGAGATGGATAAGATACACGTCGAGGAGACTGTTGAGTGTCATTACACGTCAGACCGTCGAGTGGAACACGAATGAGAAACAAAGAGTTTGGGCGTTTGATGTAGGTGAAATAGCATTCAGGTGAGCACAGATGTACTACTTATCCGAATGATGGTTATTTATCACCCGTAGAAGATGAAACGCAATCTGGAATGTCCGCCAAACTTTAACGATGGCTTTTCATGAAATTTCATTTGCTTACATGAAGGTATTTGTTATTTCTACTGTAGAATGAAAAGCTTTATTTTGCATTTATTTGGTCACAAAATATTCTTACATGCTTGGAACATATTGCTCTCGAACTATGTCACCAAACGCAGCGCAAATATGAGTGTTTAAAATTTAGTGTATTATGTAAGTGTGTCTCTACACGGATATTTTGCAAAAATGCATCTGCTAGTCGAATCGGAATGACACGCGCACCTTCTGAGATAAAAATTAGGCTACCTAAGTTATTGATGATGTCGCTATATATATGTTCATAGCATTACTGAACATGATAACTAATAATAGTTTCGACAGTGTGCACAATTGTACCTAGGAATAAGCTGACATCAGAAGGCTTTAAGTAGTCATCATTTTATAATCTGACCTTTATAATATCGTGGTTCAATTAATTTGACAAATATAGGCACAGGATAGAAATAATGGATCAGCGTAGACAAAAACTGGTCAATATATCAATGGGTGACATTTTGTTTAAGTCATCTACCGTTCATCAATTCTTAGCTCTACACTATTCAAAGAATCTTTAAATCTCATACGTTTGCGAGACAATCAGTTACATACATACGTTTTTTATCAATTACTAAAGTTCCAGTCCGACTCATTAATAAGATGGATTCTGATGCATTCATAGATCCAGAGTCTTTGAAGAATGTGGGAGTACAAAAGCGAGAAACAAAGCATCGGTAATAATAATTCTATTATAATGATATGTCCCACGAAGAATTTTCGTCAATCGGAGTTTGCAGCTGGATAAAATCAAGTTTTTCGGATTCGACATGGACTATACTTTAGCACGTAATATTGATTTCAACAGCCTTAGCGGTAAACTCTAAATATATTTAGAATACAAATCTCCACAGTATGAGGAGCTTGCGTTTGACATTATCAAATCCCGGCTGATCAAACTTGGATATCCCTCCAAAATTGCTGAATTTACTTACGATCCATCATTTCCACTAAGGTTAGTTGAGTTGAATATTTAATTCTTCTACCGTTTACATTTAGTTTCAACTGACGTGTATACGGGTCTTTAAGTACTATATGGTACTTAGATTCCTTGAAAGTGTGCAAGTGTCAAACTTCTTTAAGTCACCTGCTCCTTTCACTGAGTCCTGTAGTTTGAGAACTAGCTAATGCTAAAGATCATCGGTGCAGTGGCTTGTTAAAAATAGTCTTTTGCATCTCAATGTTGGAACTATTTGTTAACCGTGTGAAGATATGTTTGTGGTGTACTTCACGATAGTTGACTATTACAGTATAAAATCCCCAAGTACTTGTGAAGAGCGAGTAATTAATGTATTGAAAGAATTGGACGCATTGTATGAGTGTATAATTGTTAAAATAATATGTAAGTCAGAGGAAAGCTTTGCACAACAGTGCTAAAGATTTGCTGATTTGGGGAAAAAGACTAAATATCCTGGATGATCCTCATAAGAGGAAAGTGCCATTTATAGGACTTTACTAAGATTATGTGATGAAAGGATACACTTTCTAACTTACGGTTCGTCTGCAGTCCACAATATACCAATCCTTTGCACTTTATTTTCTTGTAACGCTTTTCTATTGGTGTTTGGCTAGTTACTAGGTTAAGTAAGATACTCTTATATAGGTGAGTGATATTGTTATTTGGAGTGTAAGGGTCTGTGTGACTGTTGAATTGAATAACAAAGTAGTGAATTTTCGTGAGTGATGTTGAATTATATATTGTTATTAGGAAGTTGAGGAGAATTCTCAGTTGAGTTCTTAATTAGTTGCTTACTTTGTTCTTTAAAATAGTTTTCTAATCCTTGAAAGAGGCTTACATGCTGTAGTTTGAATACTAACGAAATTCTGCATCAGTATATACAACGTTTTTCTTGCTTCTGATCAAAATCTTTGTGTTCATCTATACTTTTTGACTTCAATGAATGTATTGGAAATTGTCTGATTTAAAATAAGAACTAATTTGTTGTTCCTGCTGAGTGTTAATGAGGTATATTCTGTGTATCCTAGGGGCTTGTGGTTTGATCGACTTTATGGTACATTGTTAAAAATGGATCAGTTTGGAAATATCCTTTCGTGTTTACGTGGATTTCATCTTATTCAGAGGTAAGTAATGAATTCACATATTTTTGCCGCGCATAGAGAAGAGCTTCGAGCAATGTACCCAAATAAATTTGTGAAGTTTGATGAGAAGCGTATTGAGATAATGAACACTTTATTCAGTCTTCCAGGTGTGTACTTTCTATGCTGAGTTAATCTTATCTTAGAAACCTATATGCTTTCATGTGTAATTAACCTATTTGTCAGCGACTCTGATTACATAAAGACAGAGCATGGTTTGAAGAAGGGGACTTTGTATATGTCTTATGCTTCAATTTACGAGGATGTGAGAGCTGCATGTGACTGGATGCATAGAGTAAGTTCAAGTGCTGTGCTTATGAATTATGTTTTGATGTTATTTGGTGTAATCCGGGCAATATTTGTCGCATGAATATGGGAGATCAAACGTGTAGAATACATGATGTTTTCATTGATTTCTGACTAAAATATCTTGCCTTGTTAATCTACGACGTCCCATAGTCGTTGGTAAATTGTAGGTGTGCTTTCTTGTCACTTTGTGCAAAGTCTCACCTTCAGCCTCTTATTTTTGTTGTAAATCAGTTTCGGAAATGACTAGATAAGGCACAGGGAAAACAGTGTAAATGGGTTTCGTAAGCATGTATCTAGATATTTCCTTATGATAATTAGGGATGGTCAGTTTGACTAATAAAAGGTTATCGTGAGGTCCATAGTCATGAAGAAAAAATAGCTATTTCTTAGACTAATTCCAACATGCATTGATCAAGTATTCACTCTTAAATAGATTGTCGAATATATACTCATCACTTTTCGCTTGGTTCCTTTTTTACTTGATTTTGTTACCAAAAAACTATTAAGACTGGGATTGACAGCAAAAGGAGTATCGAGAAGGTGTATTGTGCTAACTGAAACAATTTGTTTGAAGTCATACAGCGGTTTCAAAGCTTAAATTTAGTTGCCATGTTGTCCTCAAGAAGTGTTGAAAATTGTTATTATTTTATTATATTATGAACGAATTGATGAAAGTGTGTTTGAATTTGATGTCTTAGTAACAAATTTGACAGCATTGAATGAACTCTTTAATTTACTGTACATGAACGATGTATTGATTTTGTACAATTTCTCTGACAAAATGATTTTGCTTGGCATGCGATTAGTTTTCATCAAATTTATGTACAGACATAGTGATGGAACATGTTGATGACGTCACTAACTTGAGAAGGTGCATAAGGCCTTATCATAATTTAAAACGTTGGCATGTGTTGTACATACTGATCCAACTTCTTGTAGTTCTTGATGTCATTCTACTACCTTTCATTTACCTTCAATGCAATGTGTAGATGTAAGGTGTAGCCACGTAGATTGACACAATTGAATCATTTGACGCACCTGGTGCCAGCCTTTCCAACCTAAACTGAAGGGTTAATTTTAACTCACATGTTAAAGTTAGTTACACACAAATGTTTCACAAATATTTGACTATTCAGGATTACTACTGAACTCCAGAACTGTCTTCGCGTAAAATAGCTAGGTAGGATTGTGAAATATTTTACTGTAGTCGCTATTTGGTATGGCTGTTACAAATGAGCTGAGCTGAGCTCTCAACGTTGAAATTTGCACAGAAGTGCAGCAGTTCAAGTTCCTACATTCCATATAGCACACACAAAAGCTATCATGCATAGCTAATTCGTATGTTTATAATATTTTACTCTTTTGGTGTTAGTCTTCTCTAGTCGTCATCCTGCATATCCTAGGTCCATGAGGTTAGAATATGTCAGTTAACATGACCTTGGTAGGCCAGATTAGATAAAATAAGCCATCATATCAAGATATCAGGTGTTGAAATGAAATTATTCTTATGTATTTAGTTCTGATATAATGGATAAATGTTTGTGACATCCTCCTTTCGATTTTAGGGGGAACTAAAGCAACGTACTTTGGCGAATATAGAGGAATATGTTGAACGTGATCCCCGTCTTTGTGTTTTGTTAGATAGGTAGGTTATTTTGCTTCGCATCACCACTATTAAACCCATTGATTCACATTTTACTAACAACTTGTAATTGCTTATCATAAGAAGTTTTATCAGTATCATCATTCCATTTTTTCTAGGTTACGTGTAAATGGTGCCAAAGTATTCTTACTGACCAACAGTGATTTTGAGTACTCTGATGTAAGTTCATTGATACTTTGAATTATTATTTTTGAGTTAAAAACATTTTTTTCCTCTTGTCCTAATAATATTTTCTGGATGAATTAGTTGAATGTTTTGGACACCTGTTGCGGTACAAATTTGTTTGCAGTTCACTTGCACGGAGTGAAACCAACTTGAATGTTGTAACTGTCCGAATGGTTAGATAATTCTAATTGTTCACTAGTAGATAAGGAGTAGTAATTTTCCACAGTTGTTTTAATTACTCTGTTTTTCCGTCAGTGATTGTTGGAAATTGTAGTCTGTCTATAGAGCTTTTCTAATCACCACTTGGGAAATGCAGGTGTAACGAGTACAGCCGGTGTAAAATTCCTCACCGATTACGTTCACTACACAACATAAAGTGACAATTCTTACAAAAAGCTGTCTTTTGTTAATATTAGGTAGGACAACATAGAACCTAAACAGAGAGGATTGGTTCGGGTTATCACATTGCTCCACAGGTCAACAACATTGACCGGAAATAAAGTTATGGGCATTAACAAGATGAAATGATCTACTAATCCTATACTGGCTGTTTTGGGTATGATGAGTAGATACAACTTCTGTTTTCTTTGCCGAATCTTTCTTCACATTCCAGGTGGTTTGTCTTAATATAGAATGAACAACTCAGTTAGTCATTAAACAACTGTACACATTTTGTATCATTTCATTTTGGTTTTGAGGTCAGTCATTACTTGACTGTACCAAATCACAGAATTCGATGTACCGAAGGTGAATTAATCCATCTGTCTTTACTAAGTGCTATTTTCGTTGACATTTAACTTGGTTTTCTCGGCTATGAGTGGATAGATTTTTGAATATCATAGTATACTAACAGGCTATCAGTGCTAAAACTTTGTTGTCTTACAACCCATCGTGATTAATAATTACTCCAGACTCTTCAACTGACGATAGTCAACACAAGACAGTGGCGAAACACATGTTAACTTTACACATATTTTCACTAATGTCGTTCAACAAAATGCAGTTTATTAGCGTCTCCGATTAAATGGATTCTGCGTAGCGAGGTAGTCTGTGGAAAGTGGAAGGCAGACAAATCTCTCTGCGCGAATTCCTCCACAGAGAGCCTGAGTAGGAATAGCGGGAATGAACGCCATCGGTGAACATGACTGTTTGCTAACTTTTCACCAACTGCTTAGTCGACCGTTTTTTCTGAGATTGCAAATGGTTAGAAAGAAGCAGTTTTCTTTGCATTTTCAAAATGTCTTCTGTTATCATGTTTTCACTATACACTATTGTTTATTTTAGGCGATTATGAGTTACATTTTGGAAATTCCTAGACCTGATGTAAGTTGTGACAATTTTTTAATTAAAATGTTTGAATACTATAAAATTGTGTAAAGTGAATGGTTTCAGTATACATGTATATTTAGCAATTTTGTGTATAAATGATGTAAAAACGGATGATACACTTTTTCGTAGTTTTTAAAAGTAACTTTGGGTGTGGACTGAAATTCGATGAATGCAATTCTTGTCTGCCAGATTGATTTTGGTAATTAATAAGAGACACAAATTACAATGTAGCTAAATATGCATGTTTTTTTTCGTTTGCTTAGATGGTTTATCTCTTCTAAATGACAGTGAGATGAAATTTGTTTGATTGTCAACTTTCTACATGAAATGTATGTAATCACTAATTAAGCTTTGTTAGCTAGCCATTTTCACCCCATTTCAAGTCCTCTTTTCAGTGAATGTAAAGTGACTTCAAGTTTGTTAAGGGACGTTGTTATTTTCCTTCTGAGACAGTAATTTCCCCTTAAATCTTCAGATTTAAGAGATTTCTTCTTAAAAGTCTCCTTTTCTCCCTCTAAAGCAAAAGTTTTCTTTGGTTTCTTTGCTCATTGACTGTATGAACAATAGTGAATCACAGAGCGTTATGTCTGCATGGTGCAGAGGTTTGTGTCCTGTGCTGTGATTCTGACTTGGTGTGTTAACTTTTATGATGCTATATGGTTACAATGGACGAATTGGTGAAGGTGAGACTTGGTGCTTAAACACACTAAAGGAAAGTCAGTTACTAGAGTCAGTGAGCTACACTTCTGCAAATCGTTCATCTATCTCTAGGTTGAAGTTTCAACGTTTTGACTAGCATTTGTTGTCGTGTACATTGTTGTTCAAAGACGAGGATAATTCATACAGTATGGCAGTTGCATTCTGGAGCCTATCTTTGTTTAATGTTGCAGCAGCGGATTCCGCTTGCCATTTGTTTGAATTAAGTGTCAAATACTGCCTGGTTGCACCACCAACTGGATAACGTTTCCATCCGTCACATGTTGGATTGCTTAGATTGTAGCCCCTCAGATGTACTCACACTTAGAAACTAACAAATGTGCTAATATAAAAAATTTATAGATTTTAGGGTGTTTATGAAGAAAAGATTTTGAACAGATTTCTGTCCAGCTTTAAAACATCATTATTATTATTGTTGTTCCCTTGGGTTCCTAGTGGAACATAGGGCTTCAACTGCACGTCTCCACTTGCTTCTGTCTTCTGCTGTACTTTTCACCTGCGTCCATGTTAATCTATACTGTTTCAACTCCTTTTCACACGATCTCCTCCATTTCACCCTTTGACGTCCTACTCGCCGCTTCCCTTTCGGGTTCCACTCGAGCGTTGGCCTGACGCGCGATGTCACTCAGTGGCCTCCTCAACGAGTGTCCAATCCATCTCCACTTTCTCCTACATATTTGTTGGGCGATTGGTTCTTATTTTGTTTGTTTGAATCGCTACACTTAAGTGCAAATTTCCACACTGAAAGCTGAGTTAGTCAGTCAGTCAGTCACTCATTAGCCGATATAATCTATGGGATGCATAGCTTGATAAATTTTGTGTATATTGTTCCTGTGAATAGAATGTACATTGTTTTCCTTCGTTTTTACAATGTCAACTTTGCAAAACTAATATCGTATAGCGAATTACTGGCTTAGGGATGCCTCCTTTGAGTTCGTCTGTCTTCAGTCATGCTGTATTCATCATCATTTTTCTAATCTCTTATCCTTACGAATTGGAAATGGTTAAAAAATGACATTGTAAAGCTCAGGCTACTTGCTCATTTTTGTGTTCAGTGTTTCACTGTTGCTAACACATCACAGTCGATATTATCCTAGTGTATAATTTCCTAAAATGTATTACACTAAAGTTTATTGATGTGAAATAAAGATTTTGTAGATGAAAATTCTCTTCGTCAAAGCAAGAAGGGCAAAAGTTTCAGCATAAAATGTGCATATTTTTATCTCGAGGTTTCTCTTCCACCGCGGACAGCCTGCCTAAAATATTCTTAGCATTAGTAAAATAAGAACATATATTTTGTTTTATTCTTTAAGTAGAAGTATCATATGAAGGTCGTAGTTTAAGGAAAAAACAATAGCAGAACTGTAATGGCATAATCAGTTACAAATTGCGCAGCGGGACCTGATTTATTGACTCCAGAGGTATTTAAGTACGGAGGCGACAGTTTACTGTCTGCGTTAACAGAGGTTCTAGGCAGCGTCTGGGAATCAGAGGAAGTCCCATCGGGTTGGTGTAAGTCACTGATCATCCCGATATACAAGAAGGGGGACAAGTCGTCTTGTGATAATCACAGAGGGATTAGCTTGACTAATATAGTATCTAAAATCCTAGGCTCAATAATACTGCGTAGATTAAGTGGTGCTCGGGAGACACAAACACGAGAAAACCAGGCAGGTTTTAGGCCAGGTAGAGGGTGTATTGATCACATCTTCACCCTTCGACAGATTCTAGAACATAGGCATTCCTACCGGCGTCCGACAATCATTATATTTCTTGACCTAATGGCGGCATTCGATTCTGTCGACCAGGAGGTTCTCTGGCGATGCTTGGCTGTAAAGGGAATGCCAAGAAAATACATTGCACTGATTAAGGCACTCTACTCGTACTCATGCAGCCAGGTGAGGGCTTATGGCGAGTTGTCATCTGAAGTGGTGACGACTAGTGGCGTCCGTCAAGGATGCCCATTATCCCCATTCCTATTCAACTTCATCATAGATGTACTAATGGACTTAACCCTAACTCACTTCAGCGACTCAGGGATTGACTTGCTACCAGGGAAGAATCTCGTTGACTTAGAATATGCGGACGATATAGTCCTTCTAGGCGAGGACTCTGACAAAATGCAGAGTCTACTGAACACCCTGAGCAACAATCTCCGCATGTTTGGCATGCGATTCGCCCCTATAAAATGTAAGATGATGCTGCAGGATTGGACTTCATCGACCCCTAGATTAGAAATAGGAAGTGAAGTGGTAGAACACGTTGACCGCTTCACTTACTTGGGAAGTACCATCAGCCCCAACGGGTTGATCTCCGACGAAATTTCATCATGAATACAGAGGGCTAGGTTCGCATTCGCCAGTTTTCGCCGTCTCTGGCGTAGACGCGATATCCGACTATCGACCAAAGGGCGTGTGTACTGCTCAACAGTCCGCTCCGTCCTCCTTTATGGCTGTGAGACCTGGCCATTGAGAGCAGAAGACATGAAAAGATTAGCTGTCTTCGATCATAGGTGTCTGCGTTCTATCTCCCGCGTGAAGTGGTATAATAAGGTGAGCAATATTGAGGTTAGGCGTCGAGTGCTAGGTAAGGCGGGGAAATCAATCGACGAGACTGTGAAATTACATCGACTGAGATGGTTAGGACATGTGCTACGTATGCCTAGTCATCGCCTTCCTCGACGGGCAATGTTAGCTGATATAGGGTCAGGCTGGAAAAGAGCTAGCCGTGGTCAAACGAAAACATAGCTTCACCAGTCAATGAAATCCACAACAGTTAGTTTAAGCCAGCCACGTAGGAAGGTGTAGACTTCCTGACTGGTTGGGGTCCTCGGGATGGTAAAAACCAATGGTTGGAAACAATTGGTGACATGGCTCAAAATCGTTCTCAGTGGCGCAGATGCATCCACTCCTTGTGACTTATGATTTCCAATTAAACTTTTGTTCTCCGTTATTACTATTCCTTTGTCTCACACCACTGTTTACTGTCAATATTATGCATTTCTTCTACTTTCTTCTCTTGCTTTGCGTGCCACATAGATTGTGGCGACTTGAACTGCCGCACATATGTGCAAAGTTCTATGTCGAAAACCGACCGACCGACCGACCGGTTATTGATTTGATTACGAGTTGACATCAGTTAGAGAAAGGTTGGAAAACATAGTTTAGGACTATTCATCAGTACGCACCCACCGGGATTCGAACCCAGGATTCTGTGGTTACAAGTCGAGCTCGTAGACCATTCAGCCAGTTATGGGAAGTCGTAACTACGCGGGGGGTGGGTCATCAAGTTAGATAGATAAGAGATCAGTTACTTGCCTATAACATTGGCTGCCGGTTGCGCTATATATACCGAGAATTGGCAGAAGTTGGGAATTCATACACTGGCCATTGGATTGGGTCCCAGTGGCTTAATGGTCTACGAGCTCACCTCATAACCAGAAGGTCTTGGGTCCCAACTCTAGCTGGCGCGTACTGCAGAAGAGTCTGGAATAGGACGAAACAGCTGTCCAGTACTCCCTGCTGGTTTTCAGTAGTTCTCTAACTGATATCAACTTACTGGTCAAACTTGAAAATTTGTTCGGCGAAATACCTACGAGATAAAAGCCTTGTGGAATGAGTTGTTTTCATGAAAAATCAAAAGAATAATGAAACGAAATGTTATAATATGATAAAATAAAGTCAAATAAAGTGATGTGACATGGAGTAAATAAGAAAAGTTCTTATTAATCTCTTGTTTATCAAGGTAAACTAGGTCCAGGTTAATAAGATAGGCCGTACAAATAGCTTTTGTACTGAAAGTTTAGGCTTAATCTAATGTATTATCGAGGTTTCCACTATACAGAGCAGGTACATTCGAAACACCAACACCTTTTGGTAGGTGTTGAAAGATACTCACTGGGTAGTAAACAATGTCATGTGTCTAGTCCTTTAGTCAGTGCAGACTGAATTTTATCAGTCAAGTTTGCATTGTGGTCACCATGTTAAATGACCTGCTATCACAGTTCACTCTGAATTGTTGCTATTAAATGATTATTGAAGGCAATCGGTAGGAAGATAATACTACCTCTATGTTAGGAATGATATCCTTTGGTTTCCGTTTATTAACTGTTATGTTGAAACTTAATCCTTTCTCAAATACTTTTATCTCACTAGAGCTTAGTTCTATTGATGAGAGGTTGATTTCCCCCCACCCCCCACTTTGTTTTGTCAAAGGAAGATAAAACGTTGTTGCCAACTTGTTCATTTATTATTGATTCCACACCGTATTTTTGGTACAAGTATGGAATTTTCAGCATGTGATATCGGTAGCCCAATTTTGCAGGCCGACCATAGATATCGGGTGTGCGCTGGCAGGGGATCGAACCCCGGACCATGTGCATGGTCGGCGAGAGTCCTATGTGTTGTTCTTTTCTTCTATTAGTTTGTTGAATTTCTTAATTTGCGTGTTTTTTGATTTTCTTAAGGCTTTTGGATGTTTCAACCACTATCTCATAATCTTTTTCATTGATCATACATTTGAGTTTTTCAATTTCATTTCGTGTATTACTTAGTTTCATAATAATAGACATAATTATGTCGAAGAGAAGAACTACATAGATTAGGTAGGAAGCCTTGGATCTATATTTCGTGCTTGTTGGCACTCTTGAAGGAATTCATATCACCTAGCATAGTGATCACATTGAAAACTTGACTGCTGAAATTCATTCTGCATCGAACGAAGGACTAGACACATGACATTAGTATCCAGTGGAAGTATCCATTAGAGGCCTACAGGAGGGGTCAATCGTGAGTACGAAGAGCTTAGTGGTAATGTCTCTGACTACAGCACTGGGTGACGCGTGTTTGAATCTCTCAAGATTGCAGATACTTCTTGCTGACGAATGTCGACAAACACGAAACCTGGATCCATGGTTTCCTGCCGATTGCCTCCAAACACCTAAAAATAATGAAAGATACAATACAGGCTGTAAGAAAGAGGAATTAATGAATCTATGTTCTGCTTCGCTCAATCAAGCTGAGAGGTGCTCCTAAACTCAATGGAAGGCTTTTCCATAAACATCATTTGTCCTTCTGTGTAATAGCAGGTGAATGTGTATAAATGTAGATAGAGTCGGACAATTAAGGTAAAATTACCTTAACATTTATGGTGCACTGGTAAATTGCTTGCATGGGTTATTTGTAGAGTGGTAACAAAAATAATCTTCCTATTCTCCTCATTAAAGTGCTTCCAAGGTCTTCACTAGAAATGTCAACTCCAAGTTGTAAGTGTGACCAACCCTCTTTCTGAGTAGCACATCAGATAAAAGAGATTTTGCAATCTGTTCCTTTTTCGAAATTACTGTGGATAGCTTGGTGACTGTCACTGAATGCCTGAATGGTGTTTTGCAAATCACAACTATCGTCACACATGACATGAGTGACATGACTGTGAAAGAAATGCTTTTGTGATTTACCGACAAGTCTCCAATAATGCTTTTCTGTTTTTTTTAAATATTCTTAGGGTACCATCAGGAAATGGACAACTTATTTCGACTATATTGTGACTGATGCAAGGAAACCGGCGTTTTTCCAAGAAGGAACCATTTTAAGAGTTGTTTCACAGGTAAGTGTTAAAAAGTCATCGCTCTCTAAGCCGCCGGTTTAGTGTATAAATTGTGTAGCATTACTGCTATTATTTTTCTGTTCGACTCCGTTATCGTATCTATAACGTCACCTAGTTTGCTAGCCAGTCTTAAGCAATACCCTGCAAAATCAACCCAATCGCTATGGAAACTTCAACTATAGGAAAAATATTCTTCACTGGAATCGGAGAGATGGAATGATGATGGTGGCTGGTGAAAACCTTCAGAAAGTCAATCAGGCGATGTCTGTTCTCTCTAGGAAAACAAAAATAAGCATGGTCGAAGGGCTGACTGGGAAGGCTACTCAGACTACTAAAGAAATGAGAAGACACGGTATTGGACTGCTTAGAATGGGAGGGTAGACTCCCCGAATCGTTAACTGGAGAGTCAATAATTTACTCCGGTCACCCATGCGGTGAACATGAACATACTAAAGGAGTGGCTATCAAGATATCACCAACAGTATCGAAGGCTTTTATGCAATGGAAACCAATCTCCCCCAGGATATTGACAGCAAAATTCGATTCGAAAGGTAGGAAATTCACAAGGAAGTCACTTCTTTCACTTGTCTAGGCAGCATCGTCTCAGTTACAGGTGGATTACGAGGATGAAGATGTCAAAGACAGTCAGGATTGGAAAGGCTAGACAGACATTCACTACTCTGAAATTGGTCTTTAAATCTACTGTGTTAGGCATAAAGTAAAGGATTCTGATTTTCAAAACTAATGTCAAGTCAGTCAGTGCCTCGAAATGGTTCAGAGACTTAGCGTGCCATCAAAAACGTGACATGGAGCAGGTCGTGTGAGGAGGAGATGAGCTAGTTAAGGAGGGCTGGAGACAACAGGATGAAATGGAGATGTACTATCGAAGCCCAATGTTCCATTAGGGACCTATAGTCGTATGTAGACGTGCTTGTATAATACATCAGGATATATGAACATGGTTAACTGAGGTGACGTTAAAGTATGATTTGATGCTCATCTTGAAAATATGCGACCTCATGTTCTATGATTAAGTGGATGAAGTTTCTGTTTTCTTTGTATCATCCATTGAAATTTCGCCTGTCGAATCTGTTGTAGCTAAAAGTAGGCTTCATTTTGCATTAACTTGTGGAAAGTATCTAGTGAAAATTGTTCAACAAATTCACTTTCACCTACGCTACATAACAAAACAAAATTTCTAAGAAGATAAAACAAAATTTGAACATGTATATTTTACTGTATTTTTCCTCAAATTATCTTTTGGTTTTATTTTACAGTCATATGTGTGTAAGTTTAGTTTTAACTCAACAACTATTATCTTGCATATATATACATATTGTCAGTCAAGTATCATTGTTACTTAAACTATAAGTGTGCTCATTAGTATCTGTCTCCTCCGTGTTTATCGTAATCGTGGTGGCTCACTTGACTACTTAACGTACTAATTTATTATTATTGTTTCCTTTAATTCCTAGAGGAACATAGGGCTTCAGTCTCACGTCTCCATTGCATTCGGTTCTCTGCCAACGTCTTCACCTGGCTCCAAATCTGCCCACATGCTTTCATCTCCTCTTCACATGACCTCCTCCATGTCACCCTTGCACTGATGACCAACTCGCCGCTTCCCATTCGGGTTCCACTCAAAGGCTGGTCTAGTGATGTCACTTGATGGTTTCCTCAGAGTATGACCAGCCAATCCATCTCCATTTCTTCCTGCCTATTTGTTTCACAATCGGTTCCTGGTTGGTTTGCTCTCAGAGATCTCTATTGCTGATCTTTTCTGGCCATCTGATCTTGAGTATTGAGCGAAGACAGCTGTTAATGAAGGTCTGTAGTTTGTTTGAGATGCTATTTATGACGCGCAGTGCAAGTCTCTGATCCGTATAGTGAGTAGCACTGACTTCACATTGGAGTTGAAAATCCGCATCTTGTTTTTCATGCTGAGTGCTGTTGACCTCCACACAGACTTGAGAGTAGTGAAAGCTTGTCTTGCTTTTCCGATCCTCGCTGCTTTGATATCCTCGTCAGTTCCGCTGGCCTGTAGTTGAAACGATGTTTTCCTGGTAGGTAGGTAGGTAAAGGAGGTTGCTTTTTTCAGATTTCTTCCATTCATGCTGGCTGATTGTTGTCTGTTGTTGTTGGCCAGGAATCTTCATCACCTCTGCTTTTTGTATGTTCACCTGAAGTCCTATCTTTGATGCTTCTTCTGCCAACTTGTTGCTTTTCACTTGCATATCTTCCAGTTTGTGGGAAATCAGACATATATCATCGGTGAGATCGAGATCCCCAAGTTTTTGTGTTGATCCACTTTTTGCCTGTCTCCTCATTGCCCGGCCAGCTGTCTGTCGCATTATCCAGTCTACCGCAATCAGGAAAATCATTGGAGATAGTAGGCAGTCAGTCAGCTTGTCTTACTCCCTCACTTACTTCACTTCGAAGGATTCCGTGAGTTTCCCGTTGTGGATTACTTGGCATGCAGCACTTTCGTACAACTGTTGGATGAGGTGTATATTTGTTGGCGGCATCCCGTAGTAGCGAAGTAGTTTCCAAATCACCTCTTGATCGACGCTGTCTGCTGAAGGCCTTTCCGAAGTCAATGAAGTTGAGATAGAGAGGTGACTGCCATTCCAAGCTTTGTTCAATGATGATCCGTGATGTGGCGATTTGATCAATGCATGACTTGTTTCTCCTGAATCCAGCCTGTTCCGGTCGAAGTTTTTCATCCAGTGTTGCATGTTTGATTCTCTCCAGGATGATGCGGCTTAGTATTTTGCTTGGGATGGACAGGAGCATAATTCCGCGCCAGTTCTTGCATTGACTTAGGTCTCCTTTCTTTGGCAGTTTGAATAGGTAGCCTTTCTTTCAATCCTCACGTACTAATATATCACATTATTTATCAGTATCATCATTATTTTATCCCTTTTGCTTTTCGAGTGGAACATAGGAGGGCTTCAAGTCCGGGCTTTGAAGTTTCAGTAACAGTGGTGTTTATTTTGTACGGGATGGGGTTTCTAGCCTCACTCCCAACCTTCCCTCTTTTGTCAGGCTGACAACCATCTAGGGTAGGTAAAGGTGTGCACCGGCCGAGGATTGAATCCTGGACCGCCTTACAACCGATGCACATGACAACTCGAAATATATTCCTACTTATAATATGGCGTGGCCGTAGACTTTTCAATGTAAAAGGAAGCTCATCCTGACATCATTTTTGTTCCTCTTTAACTCCCTGAGAACCTCCCTCAAGTGGAATCTCAATGGAAGGCGATGAGTGTGTCATCCGCAGGTGACATGACAGAGATCGCGTTATCTGGAGGATATGAGAAATTATGGGTAATCGTGAACCCAACTGAAGAGAACGGCCTAAGATAGGACAAAGTGGAAATGTTTTGTTGATATCCTATGTTCCTCTCGGAACCCAAGGCAACAATAATATTAATAATCAGTCGGAACCCGAGGGAATGATAGTAATAATAATATTGTACTGTATTTTACCATATATGCACATAACACTATATCAAAAACTGTTATCATTCATTTTATTTCATTTCATCCAAGTTGTTTGTTGTGTTAACTGACAGTTGATTTATTCGAATATTTATTTCTATTTGTTTCTTTAAGGAAACTGGTCAACCGAGTATAGGTCATCACATGGGTCCTTTAGAAACTGGTCAAATATACTCTGGAGGTAATAAACGGTTTTAGCAGTATTACTGTGATGTTTGTTAGATTGTATTTTTACTTTTTCCTTGATGAAGTTATTTTTGGTTGATAATGACTGTCAGTGGAATGCAAGATGTGCATTTCATCTTATTGGAGTTCTTCATCAGCAGTGAGCAGTGGTGTTTCTACTAAGACTAGAAATCAGCTCTCATCGGTTCAAACACTAAAGCCACCGAACTACGACGGCCACCTGTCATGCAATGAATATCAGTTGCTATTTTGTATTGCCCATGGGCTGGTTATATTGAACCGAAAGGCTCGGTGCGTGTTGAAATGTCTACTCGTAGTGCGGAGGCTTCGACGATGTCTGAAGGTGAACATGATGAACATGACTAGCGGCGGAGTCCAGGATGCATATTTCGTCTTTCTTTTTCCCTTTTATTGATTTAATTTAAATAAGGCTGTTTAAATGTCATCTGTCTTTCCTAATTTGAATCCTAGAATTTGACGGTCACTTTAAATTCAAGAATGATTACTGTAGTAAACATATCTCAGTTACATAGTTTTAGTAATATAATACTTATGGAGTAGAATTTTCAACCGAATTATCATCATTGTTTCCTCAGGTTCCGAGTGGAATATGGAGCTTCAGCAACACATGTACACTTTGTCCTATTCTCTGAGGTCCTCTTTAGCTGGCCTCACGACTGCCCATAGCCTCTCACCTCCTCCTCGAACGATCTCCACTATGTCACCCTCGAACTTACGCCCAATTCGTCATTTCCCATTCAGGTTCCACTTGAGAGTCTGTTGTGCGATGTCATCCGATGTTCTCTTGTTTCTAGCGATTTGATTTGTTGTATGCAGTGGAGGCAGCTGTTGATAAAAGTCTTCAGCCTTTTGGAAATGCTTTTTGTGACGCACCAAGTCACTAGCCTGTGTAGAAGAACTAACTTAACAATGGTATTGAAAATTCGAATTTTGTTATTTATGCTGAGGAGTGCAGAAGATTTCCAAACTGATTTCTGAGTGATGTAGGTTTGCCTTATCTTTCCAATCCTGGTTTTGACATTCACATCAGTGCTGTTGCCTGTAGTTGAAACGATGTTCCCTAGGTGAGTGAAGGAAATGACCTCTTTCAACTAAATATGTTTCGTTAATGAGAGTCAATAAAGGAGACTGTGTGATTTCTTTCGTTAGTTTGTATGCCTTGAACCTTGCTTACATATGCTTGTATTTAACGAAAACAGTGTAATAAGACCATATGAAGCTGAGTGTTGTTTGTTCAATAATAGAATACTCTCCAATCATCAACGTGGCCTGGGGTTTGATTTCCAACTGACACACTCCTAGCCGGTAGCAATTCCGGTAAAGAGAGAAAGTGTGGTGTTAAGCTAGCAATATTTGAAACCATAAAAAACAATAAGCACCACTGTTACCGAGACTCCAAAGCTGAAGTTTGAATTTTCATATTCCACCTGGAGACGTACTTCAATAATTTGTTCATCGCCTTTCAATAACTCAATCAATCATCATTCCTGCGTCAGAACTTCCAATTTGATGAATAAGTGAATCGTTTCTATTGATATAAGTGTAAAACTTGGGCACTGTGGTAGAGTATAACTCCATTATGGATAAGAATTTTTTTAGATAAATCACACAGTGTTATACAGTAATATTAACTGATGCGACCACGTTTCGAGCACAAACTATTGCCACTCATAATCATATCAAGTCACTCACTCACACAACTTTCTTGCTTCATTTATATACATGAATGGAATTGATGATTAGACATTTGATTAAAATCAGTGTATTATAATGTACATTCAGAAATTAATAATATGAGTGTTATCAATCAAATACAATCAGATGGGAAATAAGACGAGTGTTTTTATGGTCAATATAAATAACTTGTTAGAATGTTATAATGTACGTAAATTGAAATGAAACCTTAAGATTATTTATTATCCTCCTATGATTTGACTGGTGGCAATAATCCCTTCCATATTTCTGGTATTTGCATTGAGTCATTTCTGTTGCATGTGTTGGGTGTAGACTCAACGAACCAGGATTCAGTAATCAATCTCTCTCTTAACCTACCTATATTACTTCTTAAAATCTTAACCCTCTCCCACCCTATTGTGTGATTGTGTGTCAATGCATACAGTGCGATCGCCGAGCTTTTTACTAAATTACTTATCTTCGCGGGTGAGGCCAATCACTCTAACCTTAGCTAAATTCTTATGTTCTGATAGACAATCTCACTACTCCTGATCGACTAGTTTGACCTATGTAGTTGGGCCTCATAGTCATTGCAAAGTATTTTGTAAATTAAATTATTTTGTTTAATTGGGTCCACCGGGTCTTTTAGCCAACAGAACTTGTCTCTGAGTGAGTTTGTAGGTTTGAATGCTACCCTAATTCCTGTTTGATTTCAGATATCCCCTCTTTATATGGTATAACAGTAGATGTCTTATATTCTCTATTATGTTATCATTACTAGTTTCACAATTATTTTTATTTTGCTTTTGGCCTTTTCTGATCTTCCTAATGAATTTTATAGGATAGTTATTTGATACCAATGCTTCTTCTATCTGTTTTATTTCATCATTTAGGTCTTTTCTTGTACTACTTAGTGCTACTGCTCGGTTTGTTGGACATTTAACTAAGCCTGCCTTAACAGTTAACGGATGAGATGAATTAAAGTAGTCTAAATATCTATTAGAATGCGTTGGTTTTTTATAGACGCTAGTGTGCAGTTTACCTTCTCCTGTTCGTTTTATTCTACAATCTAACACAGCTAATTCTCCTTGTTCATTTTCCGATTCAAATGTGAATTTTATTCCCTCTACTAGTGAGTTTATGCGTGTCAAGAAGCTAGAGATATGTTCTGTTTTTAACACTGTGAAAGTGTCATCCACATATCTCCACCATATTATCTTTGGAGTAGGATTAAATGTTGTGTTAAGAGCAATATTTTTACCCAGCTGTCCATACAGATATCTGCTACAATAGGGGATATTAGTGATCCATCCCATTGCTACACCTTCTGAATCGTTTCTATGAAAACACCATTTTGCCGTATTAGATTTTCATGATCTACCAACTTATTTATTCTGTGATTGACTGACTGACTGACTGATGGTTTACGTAAATGGTGAGAAAGTCAGTCGGACAGACTGAATACTATTTTTAAGCTGTCAGCCAGTATTTGCGTGATTTATTTTTTCTAAGTATGCATATTGTTTATCTGGTGTAGATAGGCTAGCAAGCATCCTTGGAAATACTGTAAAATAAGTTAGTTTTAACTACCTGAATACGTAAACACCAGGAATTGTAACGTAATAATGTTGTGTGAACCTTATAAATATTTATATAAGTACAAAAATTAGTATTTTGTAGACATATATATATATATATATATACACTTAAAAGTGGAGTTTTCGGCGGATATGTATAGCACTTGGGCACTGTGGTAGAATTTCATTGTATATTAGACAAGACCATTTTGATATACAATATTAATAGCTTGATGACGTTTCTACAGCACATAGTGGAGATAAGAAGAATAGTTACGTAAATAATTAAAATAATATAAATAATAAGGAATTGAAAGCCTTCATAGTACTACTACTTACCTACCTACCAATATAAACAAGGGACATCAGAAGACTTACTTAGAATTCTTAATTAGGCTGGAATTAGGCTAGCATTTAAAACTAATTAATCAACTCACTCGCAGAGATTAACTTTTTCGGCCTAAGGGCTGTGTTAGGTTGGGGACAGGCTACTTTGTTAGCTTTAAAGTGATGATTTGTGCATTCAGTGACATGGTAACTACATAGGATAGTTTTTGATTCATTAGTACTACTTAGTTTTTGTGCTCTGTCATTTAAACATTTCACCAATCCTATTTTTACTGACATAGGATGGGATGATCGGAAGTCTAAATATCTGTTTGAGCGTGTGGGTTTCCTGTAAACACTAGTGTTTAACTTCCCATTTTCTTTCCTTTTTACGTTGCAATCTAACATTGGGAGCTACCCTTCCTGATTTTCCAATTCATAAGTGAATTGAATTGCTTCAACCTTCGAGTTGATGTGTTCGAAAAACCTATCTATATCTTGTGTTCTAAGTACAGTGAATGTGTCATCTACATACCTCCACCATACTTTTGGGGTGGCAGTGAACGTTTCAATCACTATGCTTTCCCACTTATCCATGAATATATCTGCTACAACTGGGGATATTGGTGATCCCATGGAAACTCCCTCAGTTTGTTTGTATATTTTCCCTTGGAATTTAAATATTGTGGAAGTCAGGCATAGCTGTACTCCCAGCATTATGTCCTCAAGTGGCACTTTTGTCGTAAGTTCGAGTTCTTGGTCAGAAATGAGTTCGTTTCTAACTGCCTCCATATCCATATTTATTGGTATACGTGTGTATAAACTGACAATGTAAAAACTAACCATTTTTTCTTCATTATCTAATTTTAAATTATCTAATCTATGTTTTAGTTCATAAGAATTTGTTAGTCTAGATTTCGAGTGACTTTTAAGGGGATTTAATACCATGGCCAAATATTTAGATAATTCATAAGTAGGTGAATTTCTAAAATCAACTATAGGCCTGATAGGGTATCCTGACTTATGAACTTTAACAACACCATACATCCTACTGGGGTTATTAGTTTTGGGCATTAAATTAAACCATTTAGACTCACCTAGAAACGGCTTCATTCGGCGTATAAGGTCCACTGTGTATTTCTTAACTTTATTCATAACTGTATCTATTGGTTTATTAATTTCCTCATATGGTCCTTTTTGTATGTGAGTATTTACTTTGTCCAAATAGTCTGATTTGTCTAATACTACTGTTGCATTTCCTTTGTCTAACTTTGTGATAACTATATCCTTGTTATTCCTAAGGTGTTTCAGGGCTTCTATCTCTTGTTTTGTCAGGTTAGGCTTTCCACATTTTTGTCGTTTTACTGTCAGTGCACATTGTGCCCGTACTTCGTCA